GACAGCAGTGAGTTTGGTTTGATTTGGTTGGTGAGGCAAAGATTCTGATTCATTTTTCTGCATGTAGAAATCCAATTTTCCTAGCACCATTTATTGAAGAGACTTATTTTCCCATCGATGGGCTTTAACATCACTGTCAAAAATCAATTGAATATAAATGTGTAAGTTTATTGCTGGAGTGTCAATTCTATTCCATTGGTCTTTGTGTCTATTGTTATACAACTACCAGGTTGTTTTGATAATTGTAGCTGTATAATATGTTTAAAAATGAAGAAGTTTAAGTCCTTCTACTTTGTTCTTCCCTTTCAGCATTGTTTTAGCTACTTAGGGCCTCTTGCTTTTACACATAATGTTGAGGATTGGCTATTGGATTTTTTTTAAATTGAGCTTTGGGTGCAAATTTACAGAGCAGAATTTGTTTTACATTCACTAGTTCATGTACGTTTGGTTTCACTCTCCAATTACCATCCCCGACCCTAACCCACTTCCCTCCTCTCCCTTTCCAGTGACTCCCACATCCCTGTGCCCTTCTTAGATATGCACCCCTGTCTGTCCAGCTTTTCTTCCATGTGAATGCTGCCCCTCTGGTGCCCCATGGCCGATTGCTCCAGGGATGTATCTCTGTAGAATAGGTGGGTGCATTGCCCTGGGTTGAGAGTTCTGCATGTAAGTCTTACTACTGTTGGGCTGAGAGCCAGCCCTTGGGAGTGAATTTTATCCCAGGCCCAAAGGGATCAAAATTGGCTGTTGGAATTTTGATTGGGATTGTACAGGATCTATAGATTGCTTCAGGTAGTACTGACATCTTAACAAGAGTAAGTCTTCCAATTCATGAACATGGAACATCTTTCCTTTTTAGTTAAGTCTTCTTTAATATCTTTCAGAGGTGTTTTACAATTTTCCTAGTATAAGTCTTTTACATCCCTGGTTAATTTTATTCCTAGGTGTTTTATTCTCTTAGATGTTACTTTAAATGGAATTGTTTCCTTTATTTACCTTCCAGCTTTTTCATTGCTTGTGTATAGAAACCCAACTGATATTTGTTTGTTGCCTTTACCCTGCAACTTTGCTAAATTCTTCTCTTAGTGCTAGAAGATTTTTGCAGACTCTTTGAGATTTTCTATATATAAGATCATGTCATATTCAAATAGAGAGAATTTTACTTCTTTTTAAATCTAGATACCTTTTATTTCTTTTTCTTGTCTTATTGCTCAAGCTAGGACTTTTAATACAATATTGAAGAGAAGTTGTGAGAGTAGATGCCTATGTTTTGTTCCTGATTTCAAAAGGAAAACTCTTTCTCCATTAGTTATAATGTTGGGTGATAGCTTTTCATATATAGCCTGAATCATAATTCCTAGGCTATATATATATATATATATATATATATATATATATATATAGGAGCAGACCCCCAACTCTTTCTCCCCTGGAGTGGCTGGATGGATTAGAACAGCCAAACTTTTGGTTAGAAGCAAGCCCTTAACTGTTGCACCACCAGGGTTTCTTACAGATATGTATAGCATATTAAAATAAAGCACTTAGTGAACCATGATTACTAGTAACTATCACAAAAATATTGAAAGATTCCATGGGCAGTATGTTGAATGATGCAGGAAACATCAAAAGTAGATGGAAGGAATACACAGAGTCACTATACCAAAAAGAATTGGTAGATGATCTTCCATTTCAGGAGGTGGCATATGATCAAGAACCAATGGTATTGAAGGAAGAAGTCAAAGCTGCACTGAAGGAATTGGTGAAAAACAAGACTCCGGGAATTGATGGAATACCCACTGAGATGTTTCAACAAACACATGCCATGCTGGGGGCATTCACTTGGCTATACCAAGAGATTTGGAAGACAGACACCTGGCAAACTGACAGGAAGAGATCCATATTTGTACCCATTCCAAAGAAAGGTGATCCCAAAGAATGTGGAAATTATTGAACAATATCATCAACGTGGTAGTTTAAGTTTGTGTATCAACTTGGCTAGGTCTGGTTGAGTGGCTGGGCAGCTGGATGTGGTTATTCCCCATGGTAATACTGGTAATTAACTCCATAGTGGAATGTATTGGAGCAGCTGAGTAGCTGCTTTAGGGATGTTGTCTGCTTCCTGTGTATAAGAAGCAACTTTGGGAATGGTCTCTAGCTTATGGCATGCTTGAACCTTGCATGTAGCCGTGTCATTGTTCAGCAGCCTGCCATGCTCTGCCGACCTTGGGATTTTCAAGAGACTTGAATTATTGGCCTACTGTGTGGTTTGCATCCAGCAAAACCACACAGGTCACTAAATGAAGCAACACAAAAGGATTAATGGTTTTTTAAAAGGAACAGGGGCCAGGCGGACACCCTGCATATTCTGTGAGAGTGATGCCTGATGTATCCATCCTGCTTTACTTATACATAAGCATATGATTACATCATTATTCTTGATATTTCTTTAAAACAATAAAGTATTCAATCAGATATTCCTCTACAGTAAAATCAAATATTTCCCTATAACAATCAGTTATTAATTAAAAGTTAAAGTTTTACTCTTTCCCATACCCAAAGGCATTTTCCCATGTCCAAATGTATTGGATAATTAATTAGGTTAATATCTCTTGCAGGATTAGCAAATAATCACTAAGATACATCATTCTAAAACATAATATGATTGTTAAGGTACATGATTCTAAAGAATGGTTTCTAAGGTATACTACTCTTAGGGCAAAACGTTATTCCAGGGAAACAGGTTAGCAAACATTCTTCTGGGGCAACGTTCCTCCCCAGGAACACAAAGCTGGAGCCAAGCAAGCATTCAACCATAAGAGAGGCCTTGCCATCCCTTTACTGTAATTAGAACATGTGCCTTGCAATCATGTTCTTTTGGGGGTCTTTCTCTTGGTCTCCAACACGGGACTGTGCTTTTTTACTTGTCAACCTTGGGTTTGTTAGCCAGCAGCTGAGTGAAGAAAAGCCTCTAGCGTCAGTGGGCCTGGAGCAGGAAGCAGAGCTGCAACCCAAGGTTGAGGGGCTTTCACCAGCCCCTACAGCCTGGCACTTTGAACTTGGACTTAAAGCCTCCCAAACTGTAAGAGAATAAATTCCTGTTTGCTCAGCCATCCCATTTGTGGTATATTACTGTCAGAGTGGCACTAGGTAACCAGAACAATCGATACTACATGCAAGTAAAATCTTTCAGAAGATAGTTCAAAAACAGTTGTAGCAGTATATTGACAAAGAACTTCCAGAAACGCAAGCTGGATTCAGAAGGGGACGTGGAGTGAGGGATATCATAGCTGATACCAGGTAGATCTTGGCTAAAAGCAAAGAATACCCGAAAGATGTTTACTTGTGTTTTATTGACTATGCAAAAGCATTTGATCATGTGGATCATAACAAATTTTGGACAACATTGAGAAGAACGGGAATTCCAGAACACTTAATCATGTTCATGAGGAACCTATACATAGACAAGGAGGGTGTTGTTCAAACAGAACAAGGGGATACTGCATGGCTTAAAATCAGGAAGGGAGGGAGTCAGGGTTGTATCCTTTCCCCATACTTATTCAATTGTATGCTGAGCAAATAATCTGAGAAGCTGGACTATATGAAGAAGAATATAGCATCAGGATTGGAGGGAGGCCCATTAACAACCTGAGATACGCAGATGACACAACTTTGCTTGCTGAAAGTAGGGATGACTTGGAGCACTTACTGATGAAGATTAAAGACTACAGTCACAGTATGGATTACACCTTAATATAAAGAAAACAAAAATCCTCACAACTGGACCAATAAGCAGCATCACAATAAATAGAGAAAAGATTGAAGTAGTCAAAGACTTCGTATTACTTGGTTCTACAGTCAACACCAATGGAAGCAGCAGTCAAGACATCAAAAGATGTATTTCATTGGGCAAATTTGTTGCAAAAGACCTCTTTTAAGTGATGAAGAGCAAAGATATCTCCTTGAAGACTAAGATGCGCCTGACACAAGCCATGGTATTTTCAATCACCTCATATGCATGTGAGAGCTGGACAATGAATAAGGAAGACCAAAGAAGAGTTGATGCTTTTGAGTT